TATATCCTGACCCTCTATGTCTCTCTTTACCTGTCTTATCTTGAAATCTACTTTGTCTGATATAAATATTGTGACACCTGCTTTCTTTTGTTTGCCATTAGCTTGGATTATTGTCTTCCATGCCTTCACTCTGAGCCTGTACTTGTCACTGGAGCTGAGGTGTGTTTCCTGGAGGCAACAGATTGTTGGATCTTGTTCTTTAATCCATCTTGCCACTCTGTGTCTTTTTATTAGACAGTTCAATCCGTTTACATTGAGGGTGATTATTGATGCATGAGGGCTTAATGCTGTCATTCTGTCATTTGTTTTCTGGTTTTCCTGGATTTCCTTTGTTTCTCGTCCTGTGTGTTTTGGCCTACCCATTGACTTCTGCAGTTTCTTGTGCTGCGTTTCTTAGCTTTTTCCTTATTTATTTTTTGTGTCTCTGTTTTGTTTTTTAGTTTAGTGTCTACCCTGAAGTTTGTATTCAGAATCTCATGCATAACATAGTCCATTTTCTGATGGCCTCTTATTTCCTTAGCCTAAACTGATTTAGTCCCTTTCCTCCTCCCCTCCTAAGTTATTCTTGTCATCTCTTATTCCAACTTGTGTTGTGAGTTTGTGGTTAAAGTGACAAGATTGTCTTTGTTTTTGGTGTTTTCCTTCCCTTTATCCTAATGCTATAGCTGTATATTTGCTATCCTATTCTGATTCTATCTGTCTCCTTACTCTGTGTTTTGTGACCCCTTTCTCCCTTTTTTTCTTTTTTCAGGTATGAGAGCCTGCTTGAGGATTTCTTGTAGAGGAGGTCTTGTGGCTACGAAGTCCCTTAGCTTTTGTTTGTCTGGGAAAGATTTAATTTCTCCCTCATATCTGAAGGATATTTTTGCTGGATAGAGTATTCTTGGCTGAAGATTTTTATCTTTTAAAGTTTTGAATATGTCATTCCAATCTCTACTAACTTGTAAGGTTTCTGCAGAGAAATCCATTGAAAGTCTGATAGGGGTTCCTTTGTAGGTTATTTTCTTCTACCTTGCTGCCCTGAGTATTCTTTCTTTGTCATTCACTTTTGCCAGTTTTACTACTATATGCCTTGCCGTACCTCTTTTTACATTGGCATATCTAGGAGACCTGAAAGCTTCCTCCACATACATTTCTCTCTCATTCCCTATATTTGGGAAGTTCTCTCCTATTATTTCTTTGAGCATGCTTTCTGCTCCATTCTCCTTTTCTTTGCCCTCGGGGATACCTATAATTCTCATATTGCATTTCCTCATTGAGTCGGCTATTTCTTGGAGATTTTCTTCATTTCTTTTTAGTCTTAGTTCTCTCTCTTCCTCTGGCTGGAGCCATTCAACCTATCTTGGATTGTGCTGATTTGCTCCTCTATGGCGTTCACACGGGCATTCAGGGAATCCATATTATGTTTTATTTCTTCCATTGTATTTTTCATCTCTAGCATTTCTGATTGATTATCCTTTATAGTTTCAATCTCTTTTGTGAAGTAACTCCAGAACTCGTTGACTTGTTTCTCTATATTTTCCTTTACCTCACTGAGTTTTTTGATGATAGCTATTCTGAATTAATTGTCATTTAGTTTACTTATTTCTGAGTCCTCAGGACATAATTCTGGGTGCTTGTTTTCCCTCTGGTCTGGAGATTTGATGGACTGATGGATGCTGGAAGATGGACGGGTCTTCCCCATTGTGATAGGTTGCAGTTACAACCTGTCATCACTAGGAGGGGGTTGAGAGCTGCATATTCTGAGGCCTCTGCCTTCAGCCAAGATGACGCAGCGCAGCACAGGTTGTGACAGGGGGTGCTGTCTCTTGCGTGCAGACCCGGGATTCCCAATCAGCTCTTGTTATCTGCTTTCCTGGGGTCTTGGCTTGATGAGGTCACCCCATATGAAAACTTTCGCCCCGTTAGAGGGCTTCCATCTGGGCTGCAAGGGCCCTGAGGAGTCCTGGGTGATCCTGCTGATGCATGGCCCCTCCCTGACTCCTTCCCTTGAAGAGCCTCCTGCAGCATCAATCCCAGTCTCTAGGGGAGGGAGCGAAGTTCTCTCTTACGCCATTCTAGCTCCTCCGAGGGGGGCTCCAGCCTCTCCACCCTCTGTCGTTTGGCTGCTGTGGGTCTCCGAGGATTCCTGTGCTATTAGGATTTTTTTTGTTGGAATATCGTTGCTCCTTTTTGTTGTATGTTGGAGAGGAGAGAGTCCTGGGCACGCTCACTCCACCATGATGCTGATGTCTCTCCCATGACTGCATGCTTTTAAAAAACATTTTATTTGGAAATTATTTCAAACATAGAAAATTTGCAAGAATAGTACTCAAAACACCCATACAACCTTTCATTTACCTTTTGCCCTGTTTTCTTTACCATTTGTGTGTGCAGTCTCTGTCTTTACACACACTGCCCCCCCCCCCCACATTTGAAAGTTGCACACAGGGAAGTGCTTGCTGCTTTACCCTGGATTTCCTAGAGTTTTGTTTTTAACCCACCTGTGATTCTTATTCTATTTTTTATTCAAGGCATCACAGATAACGGAGGCTGTTCCTCACTTTCTATGGTAGTCAGCTCTCCTCTCCTTACCCTGCCTACTTGTCTCTAAGGCCAGGGTGCTACCTGTTGTGGAATAGGTGGCCCATCCAGGAAGCTTCACAATGTCTAACCTGGTGGAGACTGGTTTGTTGTGACTCATTTCCAAAGGTGAAAACTCCAGTGCAGTGCTGAATGGGGACAGGTCTGCCCAGGTTTGATGAACCCTAGACGAGGGAAGACCACTAGATTTTACGCCTGGACTCTGGTTGGGAATCTCACCTGTCCTCATTTCTATATCCAATCTATTAGACTATCCTGTTAAATCTATCTCCTAAACATCTCTTACACTGGTCCCTTTCTTCTATTCTTCTACCATTGCCCTTGATACCTGTTGCCTCAACCAGTTGCCTTCCAACTGGCTACTCTGCTTTCATTCTTGTGCTTTCATTCTCTGCTACAATCCATTTTCCACACAGCAAATATTCAAAGCCACCCTCCTGCTTAAAAGCTGTTAGTAACCTCCTTTTACACTTTGGAGAAAATTCTGAACTCCTTCTCAGGGCTCTCACAGCCCTCCCTCTTCTCATACCAGGCTCCCCTCATCTAGTCTACTGTCTACTTCCTCACCGTAAGGCTTTGCTTTTTCAGAAAAATGGAAATCTTCCACTGGCTTTTAGCATGGCTGGCTCTTTATTATGCTTGAGGTCTCAGCTTAAATGTGACATCTCAGAGTCTGTGACCACCATACATTGAAAGATCTTTCTTCTCTTCCTTCTTTAATTCTCTTTCACAATGATCTAGGAATAGCACTTACCTCAATTTGGAATTTTAAAAAATTTGTTTGCATGTTTATAATCCACTAGACTGGAAGCTCCAAGGGGTCACTGTCTTGTATCATTATTTTGACCTGTTGTGTCCCCAGCACCCAGCATCATGGCTGGCACATAGTAAGTTCTCAATAATTTGCTTAATGAATGAATACATCTGTAACAAAAAATTTAAATATGTTAACCTGCTTAAAACAAATGCTTGGCACATGAATGTACCTCCCTTTCTTCTCTCTGTATGTCACCCATGGGCGCCAAATTAGCACATATGTTTGCTTATATGTATATGTGCTCACTTATATATGCCATGTCTTGAGAGAGAAAAAAACTACTTTATCCTTGTTCATACTCTCCTTCCTTTCTTGGTTCTATTTTCTTCTTTTAATTTTCTACAATTTCTCTTGATAAAAATGTTCATTTTTCCCAAATATGCTTCTTAAAACTATAGCATATTCACATTTGAGTTAAATCTCAGCAATTCCCTTTCAACCACTGGTAGCCTTATGTGAAGTTATTGATACTTTGGATTTGTGTTAGATTTTAGATGTTTAGTTTATTCATTCTTCTTTTTTTTTTAATATTTACTATGTGACAAGCATTGTTTTAGGCACTTGGGATAAAGAGATGAATAACACAAAGTCCTTTTCCTCAAGTAGTTCCCAGTGTGTTTGTAATGAGATCATAAATGTGACCTAAGCATTGGAGGAGCTCAGGAGAGGGGGAGACAAACTTTGCTTGAGAGAGTAAGCCACGGCACTTGGAGTGGCCCTCGAAGGGAGAGGAAGACGGGTGTGAGTTTAGATAGTGGTGGCCCTCTCTTAACCTCAGGACCACTATGATGAAAGAGCCTGGATGTTCCAGGAAAGTAGGGTCAGAGAAGACAAGAAACCTTTGCCAACCCATGATCCCTCACTGTACTAGAACATCTTAATTGGGAACCATTGGTTTTCATCTAATGTCATCCATCACACTCCCATTTCTTTTTAAATTTTGATAGACCTAAAGAAATTATTATTTGTCTACAATGAAGAGAGTCCTTGAAACTAATAATGACTGAGTTATGTTGAAAACTCAGGAAAATCACGCTCCATAAGTGGTGGAAGTGAGAGGCAGGAAGACATGAAATACTTGGTAGTCAAGTGTTACTGTGGAGGACTTCATGGGTGGGCAAATAATTTTTTTTTCATATTTAGGAAGTCTGGGAAAATTAAGTCAAATGCAGCTCTATAGTGCAAAGTAATGAGAATAGGTGTTAGTATAGTGCAGAAAAATGGAGATTTTATAGAGAGGGGCAACGTGGGGATTTGGTGTAATCAGAGCAGTTGAATTAGGAGAGTGAGAAGAAGGAATTCAACAAATTCCATTGTCCTTTACATTCTAATTTTCATAATTATTACATAGTCTTGTAGGAATTGTAGCTCTGTTATTTCTTTTTGTTTGACATTGAGAAAGGATCCTAGCATGTTTTTGCATACAAGTGCACCATAATATTTGCAATATCATCTGATTGAATGCAGATGTCTTATAATTTGATCTTGTTTAAGTTGAATTTATATCATATGCCAAAATTTCCCAAGAGAACCTATGCCTTGATTTAGAAAGTCTGCCAATTTTGGAAAATCTGTCTTTAGTTACTGATTTCTCTTACAGTCTGGGTGCAACTGAAAAGACTCTTGAAGAAACCAAGAACAGATCGGCCATATCCCTTTTGGCTGCAGAGGAGGAAATAAATCAGCTAAAAAAGCAGTAAGAAAAAAATGACAGGATTATTGCAGCCTGCTGATTAATCTTTGAATTTAGCTTTTTTGGTGCTCCATTACAATATGAAAGAATCTGTTTACAATCGAAAAGGAAAGGCAGCAATATTTTTATTAATGTTTTATGTATTTTTCTTACTACAAAAACATTACCTATCTACCATAGACGATTTTCAAAGTACAACATAGCATAAAGGATCCTAAAAACCCTTTCATAATTCTAGAGCCAGTTACTATTACCATTTGCTATTTCTTCCAATTAAACATTAAAAGTAGAGTTAAGACTATAAAATAAGCATAAGTATGCAAGTTTGGACCCTATTTTTTCACTTAATGTTGTTTTTCTTTATTACTAAGAAAAAATACTGCATAACTCAGTTTTAAATAGGTGCATCACATTCCATCATTTGGATATTTTCCTAATATTGAATATTTACTTTGATACTAATTTCCAACATTGGAAATAACATTGTGGTAATTTTTGTGGCAAATCTTAATTTAAATTTCAGATTATTCTCTAGAGATAAATTTCTAGAAGGGAATTTCTAGAAGGAAAATTTGTAGAAAATAAACACTGATCCTTTAAGGTTATATTTTCCTGAATCTTAATTTTGATTTTTTACCCAAAAAAGAGCAAATGGGAGTTGTATTAAGATACATATGTATATGAATATCTTTCTATGACCTTCGCACATGTTCCAATTGTTCTGATTTCCTCAGGAACACCCATAACTTTTAGCTTGGAGTGCTGTTCTATTTCCTACTTCTATCTCCTCTCTCATCATCATTTTCATCTGTTAGTTCCTATTTGATAAAACTTCTCACACACATTGATCATATTGCTCAGTGCTTTCCTATAGCACCGATTTTGTTCTTTACTGTTTCTAGTGCAGCTTTTAATTCTGCTATTGCATTTTTACTTTCTCCACATCCTTCTTAATCTTACCCCTACCTTTTCATCTTACACCATCATCATTTTCATCACAGCTTGTTCTCATCTTATGGCTTTTCCTCCTGTTTTATAAAGGCCATTCCTCTCTGTATCTTAATGAGGATGCCAATCTTACTGTTGAAACTTTGTTTCTGTAATACATTATTTTCACAGGTCCACACTTCCATGTAGTATTGTGGAGGTTATTCAATTTCCATGGTAGTTTTTCCCAATATTCCATCTGTTCTGAGAATTGAAAAGCTAGTGAGGATAGAAGAATATATCTTTGACCAGCTTCTTGATAGGTTTTGGAAGTCAAAGGCTTCAGGAGATTTGCACAGTTAAAATCAGTATAGAAAAGTATGGCTAGAAGCCCACTCTGCTTTTGCTAGAGGATGCGAATGTGTATCCTTTCTTCAGGAACCTTTTTCCATGCAAGCTGCAGACATGGAGTAGCGCCCTGATCCTGGCATTCTGCGCTTTGCTAATTTGTGTTTCTTCCTATGTATTTCCATCAGAGTTTTCTGATGCAATAATGGCATACTAAGTAGATTAGCTTCTGTTGTTAATTATACCAATTGTTGCTTATTATCTTTCCTGCATCCCTTCCTTCCTCTCTTTTCTTTCTTTCTTTTCAAATAAAAATTGTTTTTTTGTTTTCAGGCTTAAATCTCTTCAAGCCCAGGAGGACGCCCGCCATAGAAACTCACAGCATAGGAGCTCAGAGCACAGGCGCTCGGAGCAGAGGAAATCGGAGCCAAGGGGCTCGGAGCCGAGGGGTGCTGAAAAGCGGAGCAAAGACCCGCGGAGTATGGAAGTGATATCCGATTATGAGAAACAGCTCCGAACGCTGAAGGACGAGATAGCCGCTCTGTCTGCGGAAAAATCTGCACTCCAAGGAAGGTCTGACAAATTCTCACAGATCTTCCCATTTAAGCTTCTTTTGTTGAGTTAGCAATAAAAGCCTGGCTTGGAAAAAAAAGTAAAATGACACCCCGAACCCCAAACCTAACAATATGGGAAGTCTTGAATTGTAAATTGTTGGTTTTCTCTAACTGCACCCTTCCAGACAGAGAAAACCCCTCCTGGATTGCCAGTACTTGGGCGCTAATTGATTTTGGGCTAACAGTGAAACTTAAGGAATGAAACAGACACACAAAAGGAAAATTCTTTAGCTTAAAACCAGATTTGAGTGGGCCAATAATGCAAGAGGTGGCACCATGTCAAAAGAATGTTCCATAATATGAGGGTCCTGTTCTCTGAGGCCTAGGAGTCCTCTCTCCAGCGATGCCCAGCTGTCACGGTACTGTAGGGCATTTCTGTTTTGTAGCTCACTTTGTTTGATGGAGTATGCAGATGTTCTTGTGAAATCCCTGTCTACTGATGCACAGAACATTAAGACGGGTCATTCTGACAGCTTTAAGTGAGGACAAAGGAGGGACGTTCCTTTCTGGAATCTCTCCATTTTCCTTGTTCTTTCTAACAACTCCCTCCTACCCTCAACATGCCCTGATTCAGAGGATCAAAGCCACCCCCACCTTTGGTCCCCATTCCCCTAAATGTCACCTTAACCTTTTATTTTTTGGAAGTACTCCACCAGTGTTGTGCTGGTGCCAGCTTGTACTGCCTCCCAAGAACCGATTCTGGGTATTTCTGCCTAACTCCGAGTTCAAGGACGTCACATTGATAGCTTGAAATTGGCTATGGTGGGAGTATAAATTTGTTGCACCATGGAAATTGGCAAACACTGGAAATGAGGGCTTTTTTTTTTTACCCCTTTAGAGAGTCTGCTTTGCACTACCTTTTTTTTTTTTTTTTTAAAGATTTTATTTTTTTTTCCTTTTTCTCCCCAAAGCCCCCCGGTACATAGTTGTGTATTCTTCGTTGTGGGTTCTTCTAGTTGTGGCATGTGGGACGCTGCCTCAGCGTGGTCTGATGAGCAGTGCCATGTCCGCGCCCAGGATTCGAACTAACGAAACACTGGGCTGCCAGCAGCGGAGCGCGCGAACTTAACCACTCGGCCACGGGGCCAGCCCCAGCTTTGCACTACCTTTTGCCCTATAGTTTCTACTACAAAACTTCCCTTTTTGAGGCCCCATTTCCTTTAGTCTAGCTAGTCTGATAATTCACTCTGTGCTTGGTAGCAACATACGTTTCACTGATGTAGTGCTATACAATTCACAAGTACATCACATGTATTAGCTCACTTGATCTTCCAGCCCCCGCCCCCACCTCAACATAGGCAAAAATTATGTAGGTGGAAACTGAGGCTCTGGAGAGGAGAGATGGTTTCAAATGTTCCCATTGCTATGACTTGGTGGAGCTGGGGCGAGAACACAGATCTTCTTCCTCATTGTTCCACCAGCGTTCATCTCATTTTATACCATAAGGCTCATGTGATGTGAGGTTGGGGTGAGAAACAGAGAAAATCTGACTTCTTTCGCCCTGGCTCTTCCTAGCTGTGTTTCTCTGGGATAGCTCTATTAACTTTTCTGATCTTTAAATTCCTTGTCTGTAAACTGGTGAACGATCAACGCTGGCCTCACCCAGCTGCTTAAAGGATAAATTGAGGTGCTGAGTGACTGCAAGTGCTTTATAAATTTGAATTCACCATGCACATGTAGGGTATTGTTTCTTGGTTGTGGTCATATTTGAGGCCTGGTGGAGACACTGCCTCGATCAGGCCTAGCGGGGAGGTCCTGGAAGTGGCCTCTGTCACGGCCTACAGGGGCCCATGGCTCCTGGGTAGTATTTGCAGTTTCCGTGGGGAGAAGAAGCAGAGTCCAGGAACGAGAGAGAAGTGAAGCAGAGCGCTTCCCTGATGCTTGGTTCTTGCTTCCCAACAGGTCCACCAGGAGCCGGTCTCCTAGCCCTGCCCCGCACAGCCGCAGCCAGAGCCGTAGTCAGAGCCGCAGTCAGAGCCGCAGCCAGAGCCGCAGTCAGAGCCGCAGCCGCAGCCGCTCCGCCAGCCCCTCCACCGCGGTCGCGAAGATCAGGAGCCCGTCCCCAAATCGCGCCAAACTGTCCAGCGTTGCGCGCAAGGCTGCCCTCCTGTCCCGCTTCGGTGACGCCTATTCCCAGGCCCGCCTGGATGCGCAGTGCTTGCTGCGGCGCTGCGTCGACAAAGCCGAGACCGTGCAGCGCATCATCTACATCGCCGCCGTGGTACGTGACGCTCCCGCGGCTGCGCTGCAGGCGAACGTGGGCGCCGCGGCGAGAGAGCGGTTTGGTAAACTGAGCAGTACAGCTTAAAAAGACTGGTAGATCCTGAGGTCACTGAGGAGGGTGGGATTTCCACCTGTCCTTTCCATGTCCTTCTCTCCCTCTTTCCTCTTGTCCCTTCCTTCTTTCCTTCCTTCCTTCCTTTCATTACAGATATTTGGGATGAATCATCTTCACAATCAGTAACTTCATGTATATTAATATTTATGTTGAAGTACCCATAAATGCAGGTCTATCTCAAATGGGTATATATACAAAGTTGATTCGCACTGAATCTCCTATATGGGCCATACACAGTGGATATACTATTGTAGTCATTTGTTTCCTTCTGTTCTTAGAAAAATCAGAAGACTGTTTTTGTGTTAACTCTTTGTTTAACTAAGTGCAGTTCCTAAAACTGCTAACTTGAGCAGCTGCTTGAGTATGGCAGATTAAAAAATGCTCATATACAATCCTTGATTCCCAAAGCAAATGCATTTATTCAGTGGGAACCATATTGAGATACTGAGTCCATTATAAGGACAGTTAATATAAAAAAACAAGACAGAACATGGTATGAGAGCAGAATTATCAGAATCTCCTGAACTTTGTCCTGTATTTATTCATTTATATCAAGGATCAGCAAACTATGACCTGTGAGCCATACCTGGCCCAGGCCTGTATTTCTAAGAGAAATATCACTGAAGAACTAAGACTATAAGAATGGTTTTACATTTTTAAAGGGTTGTAAAAACGAAGTGACAGAGACAGTATGTGACGTACAAAACCAAAAATAGTTACTCTCTGGCTCTTTACAGGAAAATGTTTGCCAACCTCTGGTTTATATAACTAAGAGTTAATTACTGAATTGGTTAAAGTTCTGTCAGTATAGAGCACGTTTTTCATGCATAACTGTTTTCCCAGTGTCTATTATATAACAGGCATTTAATAAATATTTGTTGAATTAATATATTCCAGGAAACATGCCAGACACTTGATATGTGTCTATGTATGACAAAACACTAGATTGATAATTTTCTCTTATTTCTCCACCAGTAATATGATATTGCTGTGTGATCATAGCATCAACTGGCACTTTTCAAGTATTTATGTAACCACAGATGATTTATTTCCTAAACCTCTGTGCTGTCCTGTTTCCTACACTCAGGATTGCTAGAACAATGGTCAAGTGTTTTGAAATTAGTGAATGTGGATAGTCATATATGTATTTACATACTTTTCAAAATTTAGATAAGTATTTTCTCCCAGATTAAAAATAGTTTTGACCACTGTGTTTAGTTATAAGAAGACCGATACGATGTTGAACTTTTGGTGGGCATTCTTTCGTCATTCCTTGCTTTGGACTTCATTACCCCCCTCCTCCCACCAAATAAATTTCCTGCTTTTTTGATGTGCAGGAGGCATTCCATGTAGCTAAAATGGCATTCAGACATTTCAAGATCCGTGTGAGAAAATCACTGACACCATCTTATGTGGAGTCAAATGACTTTGAGGATGCTGTCTCGGATTATATCATTTGTCATCTTGATCTATATGATTCCCAAAGCAGTGTTAACGTAAGTGTTCGGTCTCTTATTGGGTCTGGTTTGCTGCTGCTGTTGTTACATTGAATACTAATAATTCAGAAATCCATCCAGTGCTTAGAATTGCTTCTATGTAATGGAAGAGTAGAAATGAGCAGCATCCAATTTACTTTGTAGAACCAGTCATGATTGGCTGTTTCTTTCTTAGGCCTTTTATGGGGGAAAACGTTCTGAGCTTTATAGTTCTAGTCTTTAGATGGGCCCTTAAGATTGGAAGATAGGATACACTAGTGCTTAAGAGCCTTGGGAAAGATAGATGTGAATTTGCTTCCTGGCTCTGCCACTTACTAGCTGTGAGACTTTGCACATTTACTTAACCTCTCTCTGCTTTAATTTTCTAATCTTTAAATGAGAGCAACAATGGTCATGACCTCCTAGAGTTCTTGAGAGGATTAAATGAAAGAAAGCAGGTAATTTGCTTAGCACAAGATTTGGTGCCTAGTAAACTCTCAATAAAAGCAAGCTACTATAATTGTTATTATTATATATGATGAACAAGTCAGAGTTCTTTTTGGCACATCGTATAACTTGCCCAGAATAGAACAATAAAGAAATAATAAATAAAAGCTACTGAGGGTTTTTTCTTTAGTTGTTTTTTGGGGGGGGCTTTAGTGTGTCATTTGTACTCTTATCTTTTCTCCTTCCCTATTAATGAGCCTTTCTCCTTTCGGTACATGCACTCTTTTTTTGTTTAACTGTTGTCGCTCACAGACTCTTTTCCCACCTCACATCAGTCATAATGTCCTTAGGATTGTCAGAATTTCTTGTCACAGGTTGGTAACAAGGTGATGCCATCTTTTTGTTTTTCAGGATGTGATCCGAGCCATGAATGTCAATCCCAAGATTTCATTCCCTCCTGAAGCTGACTTTTGCCTCCTCAGTAACTTCATCCAGGAGATATGTTGCATTGCTTTTGCAATGCAGACTTTAGAACCACCCCTAGATATTGCATTTGGGGCCGATGGAGAAGTTTTTAACGATTGCAAGTAAGAGATACAGGAGCAGAACCTAAGAGATTCTTTATAAATAAATGATCTTATCTGTCTTCCCTGGGAACAATTTAGGGAAAAGAACTCTGGGGGGGGGGGGGTGCCCGGGGGGCAGTCAGCAAACACTGCCTGATCTCCAGGCCCTGCCATCTCCTTCTCTGTGCTACAGGGCAGGGCCCTCTCCTGGTCATTTTCCTTCTCACTCAAATGTGATCTGGAGATGATTTTATGATTTCCATGGAACATAGTGATCTTGGGGAGAACTAGTGAGTACCTGGAGCCTGCCCAGAACATTTTAAAAGAAAGGTGCTATATAAATACAAACATGTACTACTTTTTATTGTTAAAAAAATTCTTTTTATTGAGATATAATTGACATGTAACATATTAGTTTCAGGTGTACAACATAATGATTCTATGATTCAATGGTTCAAGTCTAGTTAACATCTGTTTTTTTTCTTGTGATGAGAGCTTTTAAGATCTGCTTTCTTAGCAACTTTCAAATATGCAACACAGTATTATTAATTGTAATCATCATGCTGTATATTACATCCCTGACTTATTTATTTTATAAGTGGAAGTTTGTACCTTTTGACCTCCTTAACCCATTTTGCCCACCTCCCATCCCCACCTCTGGCAACCACCAATCTGTGTTCTGAATCTATGAGCTTGGTTTTTGTTTGTTTCTTTGTTTTTTTTTTAGTTTTCACAGATAAATAGGATCATATGGTATTTGTCTTTCTCTGTTTGACTTAATTCACTTAGCGTAAGGCCCTCAAGGTCCATCCATGTTGTGGCAACTGGCAAGATTTCATTTCTTTTTATGGCTAATATTCCATTGTATGTGTATACTGCAACTTCTTTATCCATTCATCCATTGATGGACACTGAGGTTGTTTCCATATCTTGGCTATTGTAAATAATGCTGCAGTGAACATGGAATGCATGTATCTTTTCCAATTAATGCTTTTGTTTTCTTCGGATAAATTCCCAGAATAGGAATTGCTGGATCATATGGTAGCTCTATTTTTAATTTTTTGAGGCAGCTGCCTTCTGTTTTCTGTAGTGGCTGCACTGCTTTACATTCCCGCCAACAGTGCATGAGGGTTCCCTGTGATATCCTGACCAGCACTTGTTGTCTCGTCTTTTTGATAGTAGCCATTCTAACAGGTATGAGGTGATAGCTCCTTGTGGTTGTGATTTGCATTTCCCTGATGATTAGTGATGCTGAGCATCTTTTCATGTACCTGTTGGCTGTCTGTATGTCTTCACTGGAAAAATGTCTATTCAAATCCTCTGCCCATTTTTTATTTGGATTGTTTGGTTTTTTAGTTTTTTTGCTTTTATTGGTTTTTATTGCCTTATTTAGGCCAGGTTTCTCAAAGTGTGGGGTATGGATCACTTGCATTAGAATTACTCAAGATATTTGTTAAAAAATGCAGATTTCCGGATCACATGCCATGATATTTTATGTGGTAGGTCTGGAGTGGGGCTCAGGAATCTGCAATTGAACAAGCACTCAGGTGTTTCTCATGCACACTAACATTTGAGAGTGACTGCTCTAGATTCTTTTATCGAGGACCATTCAATTTCTACCAACTTTTACGTGGTAAATATTTCCTTTATAAATTAGAAGAAATTAAATTAATTTAGAACATTTTACTGAAACTTTATGAGATCTTATGATGTAGTTGGAGATCATCTGGGAGGAGGCCAAGGTAGTGGCTAAGAACGGAGGCTCTGGTGTCAAGCTGCCAGGGTTCAAATCCCGGCTCCACCACCAATTAGCTGTACCATCTTGGGCATGTTACATAACTTTTCTGTTCCTTAGTTTCTTCTCTGTCAAAAGAGGGAAATAATGGTACCTACCTCCTGGGGCTGTAGAAGGTTAGTTGAGATCATTCAGATAAAGCGGTTAGGATGCTCCCTGGCATGTAGTGAGAATCCAGGAAATGTTAGCTCTGTCTGGGTCTTTCTTCAGGCTGTACAGCTATGGGTTGGTGATAGCCCATTATCCCTGTGAGCTTGTTGATGACAGAGGCCACATACCTTTCTTTGCTTATGAAATCACAATGATGGCATTTCCAATTGCCTTATAAAATATCATATTTTCTTGCCATTTCCATGTCTAGTTTTCTTCAGATCACTGCTCCCAGCATGCATCCACTCATGGAAGAGCTGGATATTAGAACATTACACTGCAGTTGGGTCTTTTTTATTCTCTCACAGAACATATCATCTTCACCCCTCTTCTTTTATTCCTTTTCCTTTACAAGATGCATCGTACCCCTCAGAAATATTCACCCATTTTAGTTTATGGAATCTGCACATTTCACAGACCTCTGGTGGGCCTCCTGCTGACCTGCCTTTAGTCAGAGGATCATGCCGCCTCTTGGGGGCACTGTACTCCTGGATGACTGGAGCTGAAACTGGAGTTCCTAATAGTGATTGCATTTGCTTGGCAGCCTTTCACACATTTGAGAGCAATTACTCAAATCTTCTTTCCGGCCTTCTGGCTTCGGGTTTTTTTTCCATATGACGGGGGTTTGAGACTTCTTGACAAATAGACTGGTTTCCTTGGCCTGTGCTCCACGGTCTTCTGAGTATTCCTTTTTGGAAAGTGTCCACCCTGACTGTAGTCCCGTACTGTGAACTGACTAGCCTAGAGGCACTGACACCCCTTCTATTCTTGTTCTCTATTTTCAGCTAATTTGTAGGAGATTTTCTTTGTCTTATTCAGCTATATAACACTGGTGATTCATTTTGAGGTCAACTAAAATCTATTATATTTGTACTTGTGCTGTGATTAAGCCATTTATCACCTCTATCTGTGCAATTAAATGCTTTTTAGAGTCAACTGCAGGGCCTCATATGTGTCCACATTATATAGTATCTTATTAGATTCAGCTTATTGTTCCAGCCTATTGAGCTAGTTTTTGATACTGTCCTCTGTTTTTTTTTTTTTCCTACCCACTCCCCACCTTTGAACATTTTTTTCTACATTTCATGCAAGTTATTGATGAACATGTCGATTTCTCACAGGATTGAGAGAGAGACCTTCGCACCTTCATTCAGGTTCTCATTGACCCGTTAATCACCCCTCTTTGGATATGATCGTTGAACCAGTTTCTGATTCACCTACTTAAGTCAATCATCCACCTATATTTCTCTTATTTTGTCCACAAAGATAGCACGAGAAATCTTGTAGGAAGCCTGTGGGACTTCAGATCGTCTTCATCTCTAGCATTTCCCTGAATTGCACCTCTTGTAATCCTGAGAAGAGCAGGAACAAGATTAGCTTGACGTGACTTGTTCTTAGTGAGTCCATGCTGGGTCCTTGTTATCACTGGTTGCTATTCTAAGAGCTCACAACTCTCTCTTTAATAACAGAATCAGGATCCATATTTATTTAGATCTGAGAATAATCAGAAGTGAAAATTTACACTGACGTCCTCCCCTTCGCCAGTAATGCTGCATAATTGCTTAATTTGTCTTTCTTGTTCTTTTGTGTGTTTAAAATAGGTACCGTCGCAGCTATGACTCCGATTTCACTGCTCCCTTGGTCTTGTATCACATCTGGCCTGCTCTCATGGAGAATGACAATGTCATTATGAAGGGAGAAGCTGTCACCAAGAGAGGGGCTTTTGTACGGTGGCCTTGCATAGTGACAATTCATCCCAAGTGTTTGATTCACAAGTTCGAGAACGTTTATAAACCCAAAGATTCTATAAAAGAAGTTCATAAAGGGGTGTTTGCTAAAACTTCATACAAAGGAGAGAAAAGGGAGTGGCTGGAAAAGAACAGATTCTCTTCTCTGATTCTTCCACAATTCTTCTTAATTTCCAGGCAGTAATTTCTTTGTCGCTTTATTTATAAGGTGGAACTGGTCATATTTGCCACCTCCATCTTAGAAATATTGTGCTATTATAAGGGCAAACCATTTGTGCTCACCTTATTGGAGACACTCTGTAACTCTAAACGTTTAAAAGTGAGTCACTTTCAGGAAACAGTCTGACAAATTTTTACTGACAGTTCTCCATTTTGGGAAATGATGAATGTGCCCTGTTTTTCTCTCCTTGGTATGATGTGTAGGGAGGGGCGGGATGGAGAAAAAGAGGGCAGAAGAGGTGAGGGGAGAGGAGCCGATAAGTTTTGGATGGTTGCTTCCCATAGACATTGGTTGTAGAATGTTTTGAACTCGTTAAACAATTGGGCAGCCTTCCAAGTGGAGTCTTAGGGGTGGGTGTGTGTGTTGTGGTGGGGATGGGGTATGGGAACTGGGGGCCACGGGTGCTTGGCTGTTCTGTATAGTTATGCAGTTTTTAGACGTCCTAGAAAGAGCTAAGTAAATTCTGAAGTGAAGCTCCTCAGTCCAGAGCAAAGTCATTATCTGAATGATCTCTCTTCCTTCTCTCTTTGAACTGCAGAATAGGGGAAGTGCTTCATGGCAGCTTTTCACACATATAGTGGAGAAGGGGAGTAGTGTATTTTAAAGGAACTTAAGAAAAGAGTTTTTGCACCATAAACATCCCACTATAGCTAATAGTATCTCTATAAATTATTGTATGCTATGAAAGTTGAGCCAATAGAAACTGGGTTCTGTTGATCTGACAAACATACATGTTCTACAGTGAATGAGCTCATAAAACATGCTCCTTGCCACTACAATAATCACCTTCTGTTAAGAAACTCTTATTGTAGGCTGTCTGCAGTGCAATTTGGAAGGGAGGGAGAGAAAACAGTCAACTATTCTTATGTTCTACAAAAAATAGCAATTGTCTTTTAATCTCTCTCTCTCCCATCAAGCATATCGCCAACATTTGCCCAAGCTTAAACTCCTGAAACAAAACGAGAATACCCTAAAAGGAAGAACTTGGAAAAAGAAAGAGTTGAATGAAGGGAAATTTGTAAGAAGGCTTTTATAGTGAAATCTCATTATAATGAATATAGTTTTCTTCTTATTCATTCATTTAGTTAGAGAGTAGATGGGCAGCAGTGGTGACTCACTCATTCGTTGATTCAGTACATTCAATAATATTTACTTATTCAGTAGTTATTTATGAGCCCAGCACTGTGTTTAGGTGCTGCGGATTCAGCAATGAACAAAACACACAAATCCCTGCCCACCACGGGGAGCTTGTATTCACCAACACTTGCAAATTTGAATGTAATTTCTAACGGCTTACTCATCAAAACAAAATTCTACTAGCACCAAGAATTTGAATATCCCATGGTTCATTGAAATGGGATTTTATTTGAGAAGTACCCTGAAGTTATTGTCAAATATTGGGGAGCTATGGGAAGTGACAGGAGTGTATGTTGTGCTGATGACCAGTAATGGGCGAGTGTAATCATATCAGCAAAACCTCTGGTTCTATGGGATGTGCATATTGTTTTGAGCCATGTGACCTTTCACAAACTATGGACTATTTTTCTCTCTCTCTTTTCAGTGGAATTCAGTGCGATCTGTAAGTCGGTGTCGCAGCAGGAGTCTAAGTCCCATCTGCCCCCGTAGCCATGTTGGTTTAAGCACGGTATGTATCTGTCTAATCATCTTTACATAAAATCATCCTACGGTCAATATTTTTCTCTTCTAGAGTTGCCTATAAAAGAGGTGATCACAAGTCTATGGGCAGAAAGGGAATCTGTTTCAATAACCCCAAACTGATTTTTATACCACCTTAGGCTAAGGGATTTATCATTTTTGAAAGAAAGAAGTAGAAATAGTTTTTTCTTAGTTGAAAGAATACTAGACTTGTTTCATAGTTTTATTTTTATCTTTGAATCAAAATGACTGTGAGATATCAGTTAGTCTTCTGAATGGAGACGGGACCCTTAGTCAATGGATCTCTGCACAGGTCCCTGGTTCCTCCAGGACTTATTGTTGGAGAGATCGCTCAAATGGTCTGGACTTCAATAGTATATAAAGGGCATTGCAGGCATTAATTTTCTTCCAAACTTCAAAGTAGGAAGAATAAGATTAATCTCTTTGTGTGTTAGTTCTTAAGAGGATTACTAACACTTCTGTCAAAGAAAAAAAATAAGAACAAAAACATCTCTGAAAATGATGGAGATAACATCCCTAAAAACATTATTATGATTTACCACTGTTCACTTATTCCACAAATAATATTTAGTCAATGCCTTTGAATACAGGGCTGGACCAAGACATGGGGACACCAGATAGGCTTACAATTTGTTGTTCCTTTGCACAAAAATTCTTTAAATGTTTGTTCAACCTAGTTTCAGGGAGAGTAGTGGAGAAGGAGAACCACATCTGGCAGTGCTCCACTTCTCTGGAATCACCTGTAGTAATGCAACTCTACTCTAAATTTCTAAAACCCCCTCAGCAAGACAAAACCGAAGACAAAAATAAAAATCTCTGCAGTTAATAAGATCCACCTTTCTTCCTGAGCTTAGCAAGCATCTATCGTTACTACACCTACTCAAGTAGGTGTTGGTACACCTACTTGATAATGTCCTTATAAAGCATTCCATCTGTATCTGATGAATGTGAGATTTCGGGGAGGGGGCACAAAAATCTCTAAAACATGGTCTCTTCCCTGAATGGGTTTCAATATAAGAAGATCAATATGATTTAAACCACGTAACTGAATGTGGTATACGATGCAGTCCACAAAAGAGGCCCAAAGGGCTAGAGCTATCGGAGGAGGCAGAGATGCCTTCTGGATTTGGTGGTGAGGAAGGGGTTCATGGGGGCACTGGTTTTTGATCTAACAGAATTTCAATGGGCTGGGAAATTGGGCAGGGATAATCAGGTGGAGGAAATGACCTGAGAATGGAAAAGGCATGTATCTCACACAGTTCTTTTGCTCCTGGAGGTTTTAATATAGCTTAATTATCCTTTTTCATGAATAAATAATTACAGTAGGTAAAAGTGAAAGGATAGCACATTTAGTGGACAGATCAATAAAAAGGAAATCTTGAGAGTTTTTTTTAAGGTATGCTTTTTGGTGAGGAAGACAGGCCCTGAACTAACATCTGTTGCCAATCTTCCTCTTGCTTTTTTTCCCCTCTCCAAAGCCTCAGTGCATAGTTGTATATATCCTAGTTGTAGGTCATTCTAGTCCCTCCATGTGGGATGCTGCCACACCATAGCCTGAAGAGTGGTGCCTAGATCTGCTCCCGGGATCTAAACCAGCAAACCCCGGGCCACCGAATCGGAACATGCGAACTTAACCGCTTTGGCCGCGGGGCCGACCCAAGCTTCCATGTTTATTAGTGTCTATTTATCTAAAGTGTTTAAAAGCTCAGAGCAAGAATGATGCTTATAGTCAGTTATTTCTGAGCTGTGACAGATTTTTAGGTATAGGTGGTGGCTTTTGCTTAGTGAAAGCAAAGGTGAGATTTGAAAAATGATTCTTTTCTGGTTGTCCTAATAGGGCAGCATTTTGGACACATAAAATAATTCAGATAAACAATTTGCCAGAGAGTATTTGATCACTTTAGCTTTAATTAGCTAATAATAATAATAATAATAATTTTTATTTTCTAGAAAGCATTGAATTCAATATGGCCACTGAGCATCCAATCTCAAAGTCATTAGCAACCACTAAAAAACAACAAAAAGCAACAGAAAACTAGGTCATCGAGGCCAGCTTTTAATTAATAATATAATTTAAATTGAATGCCCATTTCCTTCAGGAAGTATGAAAGTAATTGCAGTGCTCAACCTTAGGGGAGAAAAATCGTAGTTCTAAAGTGCCTCAGAGCAACTATTTAGCTGGTTTTAGGAAAAAAAAGGTCAAAAGGATTCATTCTCTGAGCTCCACCTACTGTGTAATTCACATTACACTTTTCTGTTTTCCAGATCTCTCGCAGCCGGAGCCCTTCTCCAATAAGATGCGTATTGCCCAGTAAGTGGGATGGTTTAGATGGAACAAGTTTTCTGCTTTTTAATGCTCTTTTTAGTACTCAGCGTTGTGCAGCAAAATGAATGTTTTGCTCCCTAGGGAATATCTTTTGCCTCCACCTCACTCTTCATTTCTGGGCTTTCTCACTGATGGTACTTGAGCAGGTCCCATGGGTGACATGGGAGCAGCCTTCCATTGAGAGATCTTATTGACATAAACCCAGATTAACCGCCCCGCTTTCGTTTCAGTCCTCCCAAAAGAAATTCTGAGAAAATGACCATAATAATGAACTCTTTATTTTTCTCCCTAGGGTTTTAAAACCATCAGCCGTGTTCCTTTGCCACAGTACATCTGCAACAGTCAGCTTCCCCAGTGCCTCCATCCGCCTGCTGTGTCTGCCTCCGACCTCATTTAAGATAATGTGAAAGGCAATTCTGTGTATCACTCCACACAGAGAGTTAAATGTTTTGGCTTAGCATGTTTGTAACTTCAGATATATTGCATTTTATTTTATTTTATAGGTACAAATTCCATTAATTTGATAAAAAACAATTGCATAGGTGTTTAGGATCATATTCATTCGAAGCAGAGTCTATTACACAGGTTCAGGATTTTCATCCTGAAATACCAGGCCTTTTTATGGCAACTATGTGAACAAAAGTGGAAAATCTTTACCATGCTGAGTCCAAAAGACAAGATGAGTCATTTTAGCTTATAAGTTGATCACGAATATTATAATGGCTGGTATTAGCTTTAACATGAAAACAATATTGTTGTTTTAATCTTCCTTTAAGGTTTGGAAGACAGCCCTAATCTCAGGTTGGTGGACTCGTAGCTGTAGCTGGGACTTCAGGCTAAATGTAGATGATGATTTAAGAGAATACAGTTCGTTGGCTTGCTTCTCCTTTCCTACTTTGAGAGTGCCCTGTATGACTTAGTTGAGTACTATATGTTGAAGCCACTGACTTGAGAGAATTTTCTCGCTTCATAAATGTGGAGCAGTGATGTGGCTAGAAGCCAGCTTTGAGATAAATGCTAATTACCTTGTGTTTATCTTCTGGGAATGTCTCATACTGTTTTAATGTTTTAATAAAAGCTACTGGGACATGCCCTTTATCTATTCCACCTAGTAGTTCACGACTTCAGACCTCCTATGAACTCCATCTGACTAGAATACCTAAACTCAAGGCCTAGAAATAGGGGCACCATTTATTGATTTAAATTGAGTGTATATCCCTTAGTTTCTTCAGCGTAAAGTACTGTTGAAAGTTCAAGATAATAATGGAATGTGGCTTTCTCAAGATAATGGTCTTTCTGCTTTTTTTTTCACTTTAAAGCCGACCTTAAACACATGCCTTACGAGTGCCTTCTTTCGCCGTGTGCCTTTTAGAGACAAGCTCTGAATTGGCCAGAGCTCAGTTCGCATAAGCTCAGTACAAAAACCAGCATGTGAGGCTTTTAAGGTGAAAAAAATCCCAACTTCTCTAAAGCATCTTGTCCCTTGTGCTGGGAGAGAGAGACGACGGACAGACCACCTCAGTCCCTGCCCCTTGGGTCTAATGGTCACCAGCTCATTCTGAAAGGTGCGATTCATTCTCCTCCCTCTGTGGGCATCACTTGGAGGCAACACAGTGTGCTCTAAGGAGAACTCCGTGTCCAGTTTGGTCCTCACCTTGCTTTGTGGTCTTGAGCACGTTACTTCACCTCTCTGAACCTTAGCTTCATTGTAGAGTAAGAAGGTTGGATGAGATTATGGTTTTCTCAACCCTCCAAGACTCAGTGTCCCCTTTTATAAAAAACATTTTTTTCTGGTTATTCTGAAAGGAAATTTAAAGTTAATATGATCTGTATTGTGTATATACTTTTAAACAATGAATATAGTACTCTACCTGTAATATAAAGCAGAAAAAAAAGAAAGCAGTTTTTAATAAAATAAAATGTATTTCAGTAAAAAGCTTGGGTGTAACCATCCTAGAAGATAAAATCAAGTTATCAGATGCTTGCACCTGTGTGTGGAACACCCTATCTGCTACAAATGCAGCTCATTGCATTGGCAACATCGCCAACAGTGTTGTCATTGGATATGATTTTCTGAAAGTGTGGACAACTCCTGGTAAAGTTTTGAACAAAAATCTTACAGTTGTGCCTTGATTATCACAGTAAACGCATTCCTAGAAAAATCAGTGTACACTAAAACCATGTAACAATTCCTTTGTGTTATATGTTAAACGTCTTTTCTAAAATCTCACTAAGTAATGAGAATGCCTAAATATCAGAATTTTTGTTGTATGTAGGAATGTATGCCCTGATTTGGAAAAAGGTCACATGTAGCTCAGTTTATTTGATTTCTACCCTGTCTGGCCAATTGCCATTTCTCAAGTTTCTGATTTGAACTTTAACTACACAGGGAATGGTGAATAGTCTAGAATAATTTTTGGAAAGGATTCACAAAACAAAGGAGAGTGACCTATACTCATTTATCTGGGCATATACCTTAACCTTAGTAACTTTGAAGATGAAAAGCTCTTACTTTTGTACCTGTGTCAATTTCTGTATTATCGGTTTAACATCTACTAGTAAAATCAAGAAAAAGAATGCTTCTGTATCTGGAGGTTCTGTGCCATGACATGCTTTCTCTCCAGATTCCCAAGTTCAGCTATGGTCTTCACCCATCTCCATTCTGTGAGGCCTGAACCAGGGCCACAAATTCGTTCAGTAAATATCAACTGCACCCCTGCTCTGGGGTTGACTCTGTGATTGCTGCAATTCAATAAAGTAATTGCCAGCTCTAGTCTGTTTTACTCACAATGTGATGTCATCATATTCAAGACACTCTCTCTGAGTAATGCTTAAGCATTCATGGAGCTTTCCCATGCCTTCTTTCAGTTACTTCCCACAGCAAACCCAGGCATATCTTCAATGTTTTCGGTAAGGAACCTCTTCATCCAATACGCCATGCAGTCTTCTTCCAAGGCCTTTTATTTTAGAATGATAGTCTATCCTATTTTCTTTTATTCTGCCGTGGCTTGTAGCACCAATTCTTTTGTTTACTGGTTTGCTCATTCATTCATACACTCATGAAAGCTTATTCAGTAAGTGATACCTCCTGTGTGCTAGATACAGTACATCCTGCTAGGGATATAGTGGTGGACAGGATTCTGGCCCTTATGGAATTTCATGTCATGTCCAGTTGGATTCCTTGGTGATTTTCCTGTCATGGAGAGAATATATGATGGAAGGAAGAAAAAAATTGAGTCAGAACAGCAAATTTAAAAGAAAGAACGCCACATATCAGTTGAAGAATTCAAATACCTTAATTTGGGGGACAAATACCTATACATCAGAAAGTTATGCAAGGCAATAGAAAAGTGCGATGACTTACAGAAGAGAATGTAACAGCGTAACTGGGCTATGTCATCCACAGGTGTAACACAGTCTTTTAACAAATGTCTACTAAACCTATGATCCTAGAATCATCAATAATAAAATAAACGTGGGGAGGAGGAGCTCATAAGATCAGTTCCAACACGTCCCATGACCACAGCTTTGTGTTCCACCTGCTGTATTCCTGAGTAACCGGGCAATTAGGAGATCATTTTAATTCACTTTTAGGCGCCCCACAAATCCTTCATGAGGCAGATTGCTGCCAGTAGCATTCTATAAAGTTTAGGTTGAGTGAAAGATTTCTTAATAGTGTGACTTTGAATAATATCGTACCATAATTAAGGGTAAAGTATGGAGCTTTTAAGAAACTGGTATTACAAACTGCATTAAGTCATTGAAGTGTGAGCCCAGGAGCCGTATGGGTAAGTGACGTTCAGTATATGCCATTTAAATCCCAAAGCAGTGAAGTTTGCTGGCCTTAATACACTGAGTGAACAGGGGCCTTGAAAATGAGGTATGAACTAATTTTCTTATTTCAAAATGAGATTTGATGAGACAATTTCACATTTAAAAAGCTGCCCACTGGGTGCCAGCATGAACATTATACTTTCCATAGTATCACTGGCAATTAGTATATCAAAACTGGGCAGCTAACTCTATTTTCTATTGGGTGAGCAACAAAAGAATATGATAAATGGGTAATTATAGCTTTATTTCAATACAGTTTAAGCCATAGTTTTAGTGATACAACCAAAATAATGTGTTGAAATGTGATGTGAAATATATTTTAGAAAAGGTCTTTAGTAATTGGACAATTGCCAGAAGATCTTGAGTGACAGTTGATGAGTCAGACCCTTTTGCAATTGCTTTCTGGTGTTGGGATGCTGGGGATGGGGAATTACCCTCCTACTTCTATCTTCTTAGATCAGGGAACATGTTTCATAGCCATGTCTTCAGAATAACAGACTTCAGAATCGGCCCAGCTCTACGCATCACAAGTTGAAGTGAGAATGGAAAAAGTTATTTGCTCAATAATTGTTCATTCAGGAGGCATTTGCTAGTGCTTGTTAAATGAAGTTCCAGGCACTGCATTAGGCCTTGGGGATGCAATGGTGAACAAGACTTTGCATTGTGGAGAGAAAGCGCTCAGCACTCCTTGGCAGGGTGTACCTCTAGAGTGGGTCTGTGATCTCTCTGAAAGGTAGCGAGGTGACTCGGAATGATGTCTTGTTTGGAAGATAATCTTAAGCCCGTTATGTTGATGGTGGGTTGAATCAGTCTTCCATGGCACAGTCACATGGAAGCCCAGACAGCACCGAGTGATAACTCTCTCAGGGAGGTTTCCCAGCTTAATGTAACATGGTGAGAACGATCTGAGAAAATACATTTGCAGCTTAAATAATGTACTGTAAATGGCAAGTAGGGCACAAAGGACTTTGTACTCACCCTTAGAAAGGAGGCATTAATTAGAACAAGGGAAGATATTTCATCAAGGTTGGAAAGTAGATTCTTCCCACAGGAGTAATTTTAGGAGCCCTCCCAGGGAGGCCTCCCTACCCACTTACACTTTAATAGCAAATTCTTGACATTTCACTTGTAGAGCTTTACTCAGACTTGAGACTTTGTAGGATGTTAGAATGCAAATGCATATCACATGCAGCAGTAACTCATAGTATGAATGAGGTTTTAGATTCTTTCCTGAAGGTCAAATGGATAGAGGGAGAGATGAGGGACTGTTAGGGCCGTTATAGGATGATTAGGGTTGGCAGGGTATGTAACAGGAAGGTTTTTCCCTTTAACTGGGATGGTCAAGGGCATGAAAATCAGGTTTTGCCCATTCTACTATTGTGTTTGGCATTAGCACAGTCTTATTGGCCAGTGAGAGTTTTGTCTTTCCAAAAGGCATTTTCATCTTAGGAATGATTGCTATAGACTAGATATTTGTGTCCCTCCCCCAATTCTTGTGTTGAAACCTAATGCTCAATGTGATGGTATTTGGAGGTGGGGCCTTTGGGAGGTCATGAGGGTGGAGCCCTCATGAATAGGATTAGTGCCTTTATAGAAGAGAGCCCAGAGAGCTCCCTCCCCCCTTGTGCCGTGTAAGCACACAGCAAGAAGACGGCTGTCTATGAAGGAGCAAGTGGGTCCTCACCAGACGTCAATTTCCTGGTACCTTGATCTTGGACTTCACAGCCTCCAAAACTGTGAGGAATAAGTGTTTGTTGTCTAAATCACCCACCCTATGGTATTTTTGTTATAGCAGCCTGAACAGACTAAGACAATGGTTATCTTTGATTCAAGACCCATTTGTATCCATACTACATCTTGTTGCTTATGACACCTCTTTGCTGCAAATCACTGGCCTTGGTGTGATGTAATTGACTTCTGACCTTTCTTGATTTAAAACTGCCTAACTGAAAAGAAAAGGGTAGGGGGAGGAAAAATAAAAGAAAAACTTTCATGTTTTCTTTGATTGGAAAAATGAAGTTTTTTTGGATGTTATGAGTGATGGCGTAATTTAATACATATATGTTATATTGATAACTTGAGAGAAAGCTTAAGACCTTAAGTTTCCCAGAACATCCTCTGTAGAAGACTAATAACTAGTACTTAATCCAATATTTAGTATACGCCAGACTTTGTGAAGAGCACTTTATATTATCAAACCCATTTTACAGATGGAGAAGCTAAGGCTGCAGGTCATTATTAAGTAACCTACCCCAGGTCACGAAGCTAGTAAATGTTGAAACAAAAGTTCAAACCCGGGTTTTCTTACGTTGAGCCCACCATTTTTTCACTGATTCTACGGGATGTTTATAAGATGTGGAATTAAAAAAAGTATCCTGTGACCATACAGGCTTGGAAAATAAAGAGTTAAAAAGTGAGTTGAACAGATCTTCTGCGCAGGACTCTGCAGAGCCCTTAATCTTCTGCTGTCGGGGAAGCTTCAAGGACGATGTCACGCGCAGTGCTCTTCACATTTGTTTCACCATGGAACCCTTTCTTCATGGAGTACTGTTCTAGAAGATCTATTGAAGGAAATGCAGGAAAACCTATTTATTTTTTTAGAGTTACAGATGCTGCTGACCGTGGGAGTTAGGTTTTATCAACTTTTACAACAAATGAGGAAATCTGATTTTATTGCCTGATAAGACTAATCAATTAGTTACTAAAGAGAAGTCCCCAAATGAAGATCTCTTATTTATCTCTGGTCTTTATATCTCTGCTTATCTTTTCCTTTAGTCTTATTTTCCCCCTTCTATCAATTGTATCGTAAAATAAAATTCCCTTGAGCCCAATATTTGTGTGAGTGTTGTTTTTCCAGCGTTCATGTTTTTCCTTACCTCTCTCGCCTTGTTATACCTTTCCATCTTCGCTTCTGTTTTCTCTCCCTAGTTCTCTTCTACTTTCCCTCTTTTTCAGGGTTTCAGTTTTCCTGTTTAATCTCTCTAATGCACATCCATTTACACTTCTTAAAAACAGGCACCTACACTTTGATATAAATTATAAATCAATGAAAGCGACAAATGGATAGTATTCAAAATCAGAACACGTTGAATAGCATTCCATATAAAGATGCATTTACATCCTGATTCACATAATGTATTTGATGGAAATTTCAAATGTATTTTTGAAAAATTAAAAATTTCAAACAAAATTTTGAGTATTTGAGTTATTAAAAAATGACAATTCTTAAAATTATCTTAAACTTTCAGTAAGTCTGAGCTGTGATTATATTTAAATCTTAAGTCACGTCAATAAAAATGTTGACTAGCATGTCCCAAATTTGTTTGATGATGAAAATCACTCGGCATGCTTATCAGAGAGAGATTCTTGGACTCCTCTCCAAGCGTATTGAATCAGAATCTCCAGCAGCATCTATATTTTTAACATCAGCAGACAAGTTTGAAAAACACTAGTGTCGGGCTTTAATGACCCACAAGCAAAATGCTGCAGAAATAATTTGTTGTGCATATTTTGCTGCCCTTAACTTTCTAAATGGAAAATAATGTATTAATTTAAAAGCTTCTCAGAATATTAAATTACTTGCTTCATTCCAGTAATAGGTAAATTACTGAAAGTTTAGTATATGTATTCTTTATTTGCATGCATACATATAAAAATATGACTAATTATGTGCTATACAATTAGATTTTCCATGAAAGAAAGAGAAGGATGAAAAGAATATCAATTTTTTTTCTTCCCTAGAGATTAAAATTTTCCTCTCGTATTTTGTATTTGGACAGCTTCTTTGTTGAGCTGTCAGAATACGTATTTCTTACTAAATCGTCAGTCATTTCCTTCCACCCTGTAGATCTGTGTCCTCTGTGTATAAGTGAGACTTAGAGTCATTGAATAATGAGCCCCCATCGGCCATCGTTTGCCTAGTCATGATTGTCTGCCAAATAGAGGTAGTCACCTGG